TTGATCATAATCATGAGAGGACTCCATAGATTCACAACGGGGAATCCAACGTGCTCACATGACCTGCAAACAAGTGTACACTCCTTGCATGAAGGCAAGATTTTTTGAACTGATCAACAAGGCAGGAGGGTCGTGCACGAAGATGATCCCTGTGGGTAGGTTCTGATGCTTCATGCAAGGTCTTTAGTTTCGAGGGTGATGAGAGAGCTGTCCAGAGATCTGCTCATTGGCAAGTTTGAAAGTCTTCAATGGGGAAAATCTTAAAAGCCAGACTTATTGAACAATGCATCTATTCTGTGCGGGGCTTACCAGGAGGATGACGTTGAGAGTCAGGATGACAGCGCCAGATGAGAGAACCGCAAACACGACCGCGAAGACCACAGACTGCAGAGTCAAGCAGACAGCTTGTTAGCTTGTAACATGGAAGTCCGCATACGTTGATTCATTCAAGAGCCACATATAATCAAAAACTTTGAAACACCACCCATCCCAGCAACGCCATCGAAGTTGCGAAGTGAGAGGTGACTTCATGAAAGTGATACTTGGCGGTTTCGCACCGGCCCTTGCTATGGACTGGCTGTCCTAGGACTCACACGCGAGCGGTTGGGCAGAATACCCCGAACAACAAGGCAGGAGGGTCGTGCACGAAGGTTGAGCGAATACAGAAATGTGGTTGCAGTAGCCAATTCCCTTGGCTTGGTTATCTTGGTGCTCCTGAAGTTGGACCGACAGAAAGTGATAGCCGCTGGACATATTTTGATGTTATCTTGAACCAAGGACAGGAGATTGAGGGATATGTGAACTGCCATTAATAATTTCTTCTCATGGTGTTCCTCCCACCACAGCAGATAGGTTGATCGATATAGGTTGAGTGACCATTTTGCTGACACATGCCACTACATTGGCTGCAGATTGATCATTGCGCGGAAGAGCTGGTCAATCTCGTCGATATCGTTGGAGGATTCCAAGAGAGCCTTGTTCGACGTCATCATGCTCCCGTACATACGATGCTGGAGGAAGGACTGCAGATCAGGCGTAATCAGACAGACTGTTACGGTTGTGACTTATGAATCTGCAGCTGCAGCGGACATTGTTTACCTCAGTAACCTCTTAATCAATGCAACCATGGCACCAGTGTCTCAAGTCTCAAGAAGGACCGCCTGCGATCTGCCCCTATCTGCTGCCACACTCAAGTTCTTCTGGCAAAAAGCAATCGTAGTGTAGCCTAGATTACCTGATTGGCTACAGGAAGGCACCAAAAGCCCCTAGATTATTATATATTCCGTCGGTGGCGTGCCTTGTAGAGGTAGAAATTCGGTCCGCTTATGCACCGTCCAGTTAGGCACGTACAGTGTACCGGTATTTATATTTCAGTGATGGATATTTAAAGCGATAAATCTTATCAAAGCAGCAAGGCTGAGCAAGGCGGCGACGCTCCCGCCTAATATATAAGCCAAAACGTCCAGAGTATTGTTTCGGCCCCCCGCATATACTGCTAGGCTGCTGATGGCTCACCGTCATAAGCGTACCTATCAGGGCAGTTTCGATACAGTACCAAAATCCACAAAGACGGCCATGTTGGAAATGAGAAAGCAAGGCAGAAGAGGGCGCTCCCAACTAGTGGCAGGGAGTAGGAGAGAAATTGCCGTGGCTTCACCTGCCTATCTGAATGCGACGATGCACCATGGTAGCCTACAAGGAAAGCAATGAAGTAAAGAACCTGCTAAAACCCTTGGGAAGGTTACTGAGCTTGCTGAGCTCAGACAATGTGCAGTGACTGCTCCAGTCGCCACCTCAAACAGGTAGGAAACAATCACCTTATGCTCTCGGCAATGAAGTGTACTTCCCTCCCGTTTCGTGGAGATTGGCGACTGACAAGGTTCTCTGTCTTCTTTGACTTACACTGATAGTGGACACCTGATCTTTCAGAAACTGTGCATTTTGTAAGGGTTCTTGACCTCTGCACACAATCAGACTTTGACTGGGTCAGAGTGCATGCAAATGCTTGCTTATTGGAGGGCACCAATCTATGTCAATCTCCATTATCGCATGCCTGATTTTGATTGCTGACCTGCCTTCTTATGTTTGGAGATAGGCCGAGTGATGCAGTGGTTGTTTCTTGACATCAGGTGCTGTATCGCAAGAAAATCCTGGCTTTTATTTGACAATAAGAGGCACTGTAAGCAGCCTTTTGTAACAAAATGTAGACGTTTGAGTTGCCCCTTGGCAAAGTTGCGGAATAAGTGCTCAACGTGCTACCCGGCTGCATTTTGGCTGGCTCCATGCAAAAGTGATCGTGTCCTAATCAAAAGTTGAAACGTGTATCCATTGTTCAAACTCCACCTTTGTGGAGCGTTTTTGTGGGACAAATCAACATTGTGTCCAAGAGGGCCAACTTTTCTCGTGCCGGTACATTTGTCCGGATTGAGCAGTCACTTCTTAATCACATAACTTCATGGTCACCAAGGAATGTCACCCAACACTTGCTTCTTGTTTTGCAGTTGAAGATAGCACCACCACATAAAACCACCAAAAGCTAGGCCAAAGGCCACCAATAGAGCTGACAGCAATATAGAAACAGTAACCAAACTGCTACTCCATAAGCTTCAAGGACTGGCAAAGAGGGCCCTCCTACTGCCAGTTTGAAAGACCTAGGGCACGATGTTGAGAGCGAGGCCGACCTTGGCACTCTTGTCTAATGCCTTTGTGTCAACTTCTGAGGAGACCGTAAAGGTGTTCTTCGGCCTGAACTCGTGCTGTAGGAGACCCGCGAGCTTCCCATGATTGTCAAGGCGGACCTTCGTGAAAGTAAGGGGGTCCAGGTGATACTTAGTGCCGGCTGTGAAGGTGTTCGCATTGTCGTCAAACTTGTGGGTAGCCTCCACGCCGACTGCAGTGTCGAGGTTCACCGAATGGTAGTAGCTGGCAATCAGCTTGTTGCCTCGGTCAGCCCTGCATAAATAGAACAGCCTTTGTTGCTTGAGGGCGTTTATTCCTAGAATCATTGCCTTGCAGGATGTTTGCCGATGGAAAACATCTTTGCATGTTCCACATATTGACTTCCGCCTCCGAGCCACTCTTGACTACAAACACACTTAGACATAAGATCTTGCACCACACCAAACACAGAGAGGCTTGTGCTTTGCTCAGACGAGGGTGAAATAAGCTACTCGAGAAAAAAGAAGTGGGAAAACTTACAGGATTGCTGCAGCAGAGAAGTCTCTTTGTGAGTACTGAATCCCCGCAGAATACTTGGTCACCTCGCCCTTGTTGGTGTCATAGGCCCCCTCCCCTCCAATCAGAACGCCCTCCTTCCCAAAGGCAATGGATCCTTCTGCAACCGGTGACTGCTTCAGGCCGATGCACCCCTTGAGCCCCATAATGCCGTGCACATACTCAACGTCAAACTGCAGGCAGTGGAAACAATCTGCTGTTCGTGTCCAGGATTGCGGACACCGTCAGTGGGCGGCAAGGTAATCCCTCCTCCGGAAGTACCATACAAACTAAGAACCCGTGCACTTAAGCATCCAACATGTTTCGCGAAAGACCTTGCTCAGACTGTACCGACAGATTCCAATGCAGTACCTTCCTCCGTGCAATCCAAAAGTGAAGGGGAAAACTCAACTATCCTCAAGGTCAGAAACTTCGCACCATCTATCTATTAGCAAATGGGAATAGAACAAACTCAGATGCCAACACTACGCCAGTCCCTATCAATCATGCTCTGTATGCCTGGGAACCTCAATTGACTCATCCACCATTTGATTACTTCAAGCAAAACCAACATTCCACCGAAGTCCCCTGCTTCTTAAATCGGACAAAGCATGTCTGAACCTGCAATAGCACACAACCGCAAGACAAGGAGCTCACTTTGCCCGACTGGGTGTCAGGGATGGTTCCCTTGATGATTGCTTTCAGGCCGGGCGCCAGGTCGTTAACCGTTGTGATCACATGAATCTGCATAATGATATACATGTCCAGTTGACAAACCACCACAGACCTTCTTCCATATCGCTTTTGCAGAGAACGGGTTGAGCACAAACTAGCATTTGCTCCCATGTGCTGAAAATTGCATACCACTTTCAGAAACCATCAACTGCATCAACAAGCAGGTCAACGATTTGAGGCGATTACGGACCGGTCAGCATCCAGAATCTTGAGCGAATGCGCAGGGATTTCACCAAGGCAAAAATAGGTGCCACAAAAGATGCTGACCCTAAAACAATGTCGTGCAACCGTCTGGCTGCTGATCTATTTTTGAATCCAAGTACGAATCCAAGTACCGGTCAAGCTAATATCTGCTCAAACGTCTTACATTGCATACACAGGTGCTGCACGAACCTGACCCTAAGGTCCGAAGTAGCAGGATGAGACGTTACGGCTGACTAACCTTTGATGCCGAATCAAGTTTCCATTCGGTGTGGATATTCTGCCGCTTAAAACAGGCCTTGACCTCCGCTAGTGCCGCATCACCCTTCTTGATCCCTGTTGAGGAAACCACCTGCAGGGAATGTGATGGCTTATGAGGCCGATCATGCAGCATTCCTATTCCTCTTCCAAGTAGATAAGCCTTTTCTTGGATGGACAGAAAACTTCTAAATCTACTCAGTAAAACCAGACTTGGAGCAGGCTTTGGACTAATTGCGCATGCTCCTGCAAGCCTCCGCTTTGCTGACCCTACGACTGAGAGGATGTGTCAAGCTGATCGATTCATTCATCCTGCATCATTTAATAGCTGGTTATCTTGAGTGATATATGTTGCAAAAGAAAAAACCCTACAATGTGGCAAAAGTATACTGTAATTGTCGAAAAGCAAAGAACAAATTGGGTAACAGTATTCGGTTGTACAGGACAAAAGTGCAAGTGAACATGTGACAGTACTTGACCTGCTCCTAGACCCTTGTCCCCTAGACTGCTTGCATGCACAAGGCTCGAGCATGATGAGGCACCCTCCACCCCAAACCTATTCATTGCTCGATTGGACCATTACCTAGAGACAAGAAAACCTGCCTCTTGTCATCAATGCAGATCCATGGAGCGCGCTAAGATACTCTTCTCTTGTATGCAAGCTCAACAAGAAGGGTAGCTGCTCACCAAACCAGTGGAAGTGGTCGAGTTGACGGTGACCTTCTGGTCGGTTGTAAAGTCCTTCGTCAGCAAATCTGCGCAATAGATAATCTGACCTTAGTAACCTCGTGATTCCCCTTCAGTCAAACATAAGAAACAGGCTAGCAAAGTCCTTCGATTAATTCTTGACACCTAAAAACCAACCCCGCCACTGACAGCAGCAGCCTCCCTTTTTAAACCTGCAGGCACGACGAGGACCTCACCCTTGGTTCCCTTCCCAATGTCAGAGAAAAACCCGGGTCCCTTGGCCATGCTTCCTGATGAAAGAAACCACTTAAACAGCGCCTCTACAGAACTCCGCAATGAGCCAAAGTGAGCAATCCCTTCTCGCGCCTTTTGCCTCGATTCAAGCGCAGACAACACCTCTGGCTCTGATCAATAGTGATAAGGTAGCCCTGCAAGACGTCTGCTGAATCTTCCCTCAAGTCTAACACCTATGAGAGCGAGATTCCTCACTCAAGTCAAGTTTACAAAATCGGGTTAAGTGTCCAGGTACGTTACCTTTTCTGGCTTTCGTCGCTATTGCTGACGTGGCCGGAGGTTAGGGCCTAAAATTATGGTTCGAACTTTGGAACGTCGAAGGCAGTCCTGTAGGTTAGCTTTCGCTCGGAAGCTGGGTTATGGGGGTCAAAGTCACAAGTGCTAGATTCTTCTCCCAGCGTCTCCTTTAACCGTTCACGAACTTGGTGAAGATTTACCTCGTAGTCATAAGGCTTTCAAGTTACCGTAGTAAGGGCGCCTTTTCCATCTACTCACAAAGAACTTGAATCTGCGTTCCTGAGAAAAGAACAATGGCCAGAAGCAGAGGTGGAAGTCGACCAGGTAAGTTGTTGGCCCGGCAAAGATGTGCCTCTCTTTTAAGAAGCGTTTTCAGTCTGCACAAGTCAAGGCTGGAGAGGTGTATTTGCTCTGTAGGGGTTGGATGCAAGTACTAGGGTTGCCCCTGTTCCTTGTGGCACGCAAGGGAATAAGATTGCGTTCATTTGGTTTGGATCTTCTGAACATATTTTTTGCCACGTTGAATACGGGAGATTCATGTGCAGGGTGACTGTTGATTATCCTGTCTTGGTATAAAAGTTGTAGTCTAGCCGACCAGTACGACTACCTACTTGTGGCTGTATTTATAATGAAAGAGGAGCATCTTTTTGTAGTCAGTTGCCTCTGACTGCCCCTGGTGCATAAAAAGTTGCCTCCTCGCAAACATCTATAGCGTTCCTTGCGGTTGGGCAGGTTTCTACCATCCCGTGTTCCGCCAGTAAAAAGTCAATAAGGGCATGAACGCTACCCTGGCCTTGTCAAGGTCTACTAGTTTTCTTTCAGCTTTCATGACTCGGGCAGCTTTTAACCTTCCTGTGTATCTGCTAGACACTAGTTTGTTGGGAAGAAGGTTTTGAGCAACCGGTAAGTTTTCATGACTGTATGTTTGTACGAACATAAGAGAATTGAGAGAAGGTCTTCATGGCGCGCCCTGTGGCTCGTACGTACGACTCGTTTTGTGTTGCTTATCTATGCAGCTCCCCGCCCGGCACCTCGCCCTGCAGCTCGCCCTGCAGCAGCAGCCCGCCCTGCACCCCCCCCAGCAACAAGTAAGCAAGCCATGCCTCTCCTAAAACTTGGGCGCCATTCTTTGCTCTGGCCTTTTTGCAAGTTCACTGGGGAATGCTGTGAACCTGCTAAATGATACAAAGAGAGATTTTGTGTTAGCTCTGCGCGCTTGAGCCTCCTCCTGTCAAAATCCCACTTGTACTAATTTGCAGCAAGCTAGTCAGCTTCATGAGTCTGTGGTGCCTCTATTGGCAAATCGCTCTTTGCTTTCAAACCTGAGTCTTCTCCTGTCTCTCTATTGACAGGGTTTAGATGTGCATCTGGGTACCCTTATTTTGGTAGTCTCTCTCTGGTGTCCAGTAATTCGCTGATCTGGTCGTCTCCAACAAGTTTTCTCCTGCTTCTGAGGAAGTTCAGACTCGGCAAGGTTGTGACAAGTCACTGTGTCCTTTGGTCTGAGCACTTGGTTTCTGGTAAAAGCGCGTGCCAGTACTTTCTGACTTTGTTTCCTTGTGCTTTCCAGCCCATGGGGCCCATCCTCCGGCCCATCCCCAGCAGAGCGGCGGCGGTGGCTTGATGTCGAGCATTGGATCCACGATTGCTCAGGGTGAGGAGCCAGGTCTCTTATGGTTCTTGATATTTTTTGTTCAAAGTTCATTATGGGACCTGGGACCTGTGACTTTGGCTGCTATGAGTGACACACTTATCAGATGTTTATGTTTTGCTGCATGGAGAGAGAGATTTTTACTTGTCTGATTCGTTGTTCAACTTGAACCTTGGGAAAGAAGTGCAAACTCCGAACTTACCTTTGTATTGGTTTTGGCAGCTCTTGGCAGCTCTGGCTGTGACTGATCTGGTTATATTTTCCTATGAGGTTAGGTCCGCTAGCGTCTACTAGTCCATTGGAAGGAAAGGGTGTGAGCTTTCTCACTGGTTGTGTGTTGCTCGACAAGCCACGGATCAGTATAAGCACAATCTGGTCGGAGAGTCAGGGTTGTCTCCTTTGGACCTTGAGAGCCATCTGAAATTCAGACCTGGAGCTCCGCAGTAAAGTACTCTTACGGACCTGCCAGACCTCACTTGCAGGCTATTCGGTCCTCTCTGTGCAGTTACCTGAGGAATTACCTGAAGAATACTCTACGTGAAAAGTTGCTTTGGTTGTTGTTGTCAAGTTACAAATGAAGGGGTGGTTACTTTGTCCATCCCGCAATCATCATTCCTGCCCAAAGTCATCAGGTCTTATGTACATACAACAATGCTCGGGCCGCTTAAGCCAAGAGCCAGTCTGGAATTCCTGAGGTCCGAATTCCGGGTTCCAACGATTTACTGTTCTCCCTGCCTTACTTGGGTGTATCACATGTTCCGTCGCAAACATCCTGGGTGCGAGGTTAAGGGGCCCAAGATGAGTCATCTCATCTTGGTATTTGGCGAGGTAAGGAGTTGTTGCGAGCTGTTCGTTTGCATTATCATCCTATCATTGCACTGACTTGCTCTTTCCTTCCTCGCTGCAGGTATGGCTTTCGGTGGTGGCAGCGCTGTTGCGCACAGAGCTGTGGATGCTGTGATGGGCCCCAGGCACTCTGCGCCTGCAGAGGCCCCCCAGGCCGCCGCTGAGCCCGCTCAGTACGCTGGAAACAGCGCACAGTTGGCCAGCAGCAGCATGGACAATGCGTGCAGCAACCAGATGAAGTCGTTCCGTGACGTAAGCTGACTTCGTTCCTTGTTCTATGTTTTTTGTCTGTTGGGGAATGTTTTTGGTTCTGAAGATTTGATGTTTGTTGATGGTTGGATCTCGGCTCACGGTGCGAAGCATTTGTACTGTCACGCTAGGGCAACAATGATTAGTGCTAAATGTCATTTGGGGAGTGTATGCCAGCTGCTGTCATCTTGTTTCTCGGTCTCATTGGATTTGATTTTTGGCCCCGCTCCCTCTAGCTTCGATTGGTCAACTTTTGACCGTAGCCGGTTGTGCTCAGTTCTCAGGCAGCTTATCTCGGAAACAGCCGCTCCACCGTAGAAAGAAAGTTCCCATTTACGGTTTGTTCATATCCTGTGGCTCGACTTTTGACTTCTAGTCATGCCTGCTTTTCGTTTCTCTCAAAAAAACAAAGGACTTCACAAAAAAACAAAGGACTTCACGTCTGAGAAGATGATTCGGGTGCTCAGTTATGCCAGGGATTAACAAGGAGACTCACATGCAACCCTGGGCAGACCCTGGGCAGACGATACATAGGTTAAGGTTAGCCTGAGTTTCTTAGAAGGCAAAAGCTGCAACAATAGCATCCGTTTCACCTTATTGACAATGACCGTCATAGCATGTGCCTGTGCAGTGCCTCGACAACTATGGTGACGACATCTCCAAGTGCCAGTTCTACGCTGACATGCTC